GGGGCTGAGCGGATGTGCGATCCCATGAGGGCTGCCCCTGCCTGTCTCCAGCTGCCAGTGGCTGCCTCGGCCTCAGCTCCCTTCAGCTACATGAGCTCGCGATGTGCTGCGATCCCGGACCTGGGTGCCGGAGGCTCACTTTAGGGCCGAATGGCAAAGCAGTCACCAGAATGCAAGTGCAGCCCACGAGGTCGTCCCTTGGCTTTGTGCTCACCGACTCGGTGGTTTAGAGGCCTTTTGTCCTCCTTGGGTTTCTATTTTGTCTACATTTTTGACTAGCTGACATTTACCCAAGAGTGATGTTTGAATATCTGATCGTTGCTGTTGCCTCTTTTAACATTGCTCACATGAAAAGTTGAAAGCACACAAGTAGAATTTATCTGTTTCAGATTTATTTTGGGGTTTGATCTTTCGCCTGCCTTCAAGCTTAATTCATCCCCAAGGAAGCCCTCATTAGATGAGTTAAATTGTATATTGTCAGCTTCTTGGCCTGGGTCTCTTTCTCTTCTGTTTATAGCATATATCAAATATTTTACTGTATTTTTTGTGGAGAGGTTTCTTTGCTATAGGGCACAAGCGCTCACCAGAAAGACAGAGACAGAAAGCGAGAAATCACCCCCCAGGGGGGATGGCCACGCCACAATCCCTTTTCCTCCATTCTCCTCTCGGGATCTTGGGCATGCACGCACATGCGCCCAGCATGAGTTTAAGCTACCAGGTCCAGGACTCGATCGGCGGCTGACTATATGGGAGTTCAGCGACATAGCCATTACGCTAGCTGCTGGTCCCTTGAACTGTATTTTTTAAATAGTGGAGAATTCTGAGTAAGGTGAGAAACTCCAGCCTCCCCTTTTATTTCTTGGCCTGTGGAAGCTGTTCAGTGAAAACGGCGGGCTTGGTATGCTTTATCCCCTTGCCTGCTTTATTGTGGTAAAATAGGTACACGTGTACTTCTTACCTGTGCAGTCCAGGGGCATGGAGAACATTCACGTGGCTGTCCAACCCCCGCCATGTTCATCCCTGGAACTTGGCCTTCCCGGTAGAGTCTCAGACCTGTCGGACCGTAATTCTTAACACCCCAACTCCTGGCAACCCCCCTTCTTCCTGTCTCCATGAGCCTAACTGTTCCAGGGCCCCTTAGAGGTAGGATCCTCTAGTATGTATCGTTTTATGCATGCTTATTTCACTTCACATAAAGTCTTCAAGGTTCATCCATTTTTTTTAAAAGGTTATTTATTGAGCAAGAGAAAGAAACAGGGACCCTGGACAAAGTCCCACCGTGCCAAAATCCTCCCACCAACTTTCCAGCCAGGAGCTAGGCCCACCATGTGCCCAGGGTGTTCAGGTTGACCAAAGAGTCGGACCCCAGGCCTTTTCCCACACTCCAGTGTCAGGCAGGGGTGCCCTGCCGCCTGCACCCCCATGGTGGGCTCAGGTTCATCCATTCGATAGCGTATGTCAGAAGTGCCGGCTTTTCAAGGCTGACTTCTGGTGAATGGATATCCCAATTTGTCTGTCCCTCCTCCAGTGCACCTTGGGTGGTTTTCACCCTCTCCCTGGTGCGAATAACCCTGCTGTGAGTGTGGGCGTGACTTGCTTCTAAAACGCGCAGCGCGATGAGCAGACCGAGGTGTGTTATATAAAAGGCCGAGGTTCTCATCACAGCACTGCCGGCTTTTCAAGGCTGACTTCTGGTGAATGGATATCCCAATTTGTCTGTCCCTCCTCCAGTGCACCTTGGGTGGTTTTCACCCTCTCCCTGGTGCGAATAACCCTGCTGTGAGTGTGGGCGTGACTTGCTTCTAAAACGCGCGCAGTGAGAAGCCCAAAGTGGGGTATTTTAAAGACCGAGGTAATTCTCACAGCACTGCCGGGTGAGGTTAATTGCCTGTGCCGTTTGCATATCATGACAGATCGATCGATCGGCTTTCTCTCGAGTGAAACAGGTGACAGGGCAAGGCCAGGCCAGCACAGATCGGGCTGAGTGGAGCTTTGTTGGGGGAGGGAAAGTAGCCAGGGTGTGGGGTGTTGGTCTGATCTGGAATTGGTCGTGGTGGGGACTCTTTCAAAGTGCCAGTGGGTATATCGGGGTGTGGAGCAGGGCCTGAGGGGCGGTGCCCTGGTGGGCGAGAAGGACCAGAGTGTGAGGGGCAGACCCACGGCTGCGTGGGAAATCGGGGAGCCTGTGTTCCACTGCCCTCCATGCACGAGTGCCTAGGCTGAGCAGAACTCCGTAAATAAATGAGAAAGGAAGGAAGGGAAGAAGGAAAGAAGAAAGGAGTCAGCCCTCACTCCCCCCGCCAGGCCTCTCCGGTACCGAGAGCAGTGGCACCGTCTGTCCCTCGGACCCCAGTGCACACGCGTGTGTGTTTGAGTAGCGGCTGGCAGGGGCCACGTTTTGTTCTTCAGGAGTGGTTTTCAGACTTCCAGATTGAAAGAAAACTGCCCAAAGAGCACTCGGAAACCCCTGAAGTAGGCATGTAAGCCAAGGGTGAAAATCCTAACATGTCGGCAGGTAAGGCAGCGTGTGTCTTCACCTCCGCGGAGCGTGCGTCTGCCTCTCCTGTCCCGTTGTGTTCACAGCTGAGACGTACTCCGGTCGCACAAGCGCGGCCGAAGCGGGTTCACAGCAGCCCTTTAACGCCGCGTCCGCGCTCCTTGTCTTCCTTGTCTTTCAGACTTCCTGTTTAAGTTCCTGGTGATCGGGAACGCGGGTACAGGCAAGTCCTGCCTGCTGCACCAGTTCATTGAGAGGAAATGTAAGTGGCACCAGCGTCCGCGCTCACCCCTCACCCCCGGGCGTGCTGTCGGGTCATGTGCAGTGAAGCTGAATGAAGCGTAGTTTCTTCCTCAGGGAAAAAGTCGCAGTGTAAAGTTCTTTTGATAACATGAAAAGGTAACGTTAAATAACTTCAGCAGTGTGCTCTTTGGGGTTTAGTCGCGGTCCGGCAGGTGGTCACCCAGGCGTTTCCCAGGGCCTGAGAGTTCACAGCAGGAGGTCACAGACCGCGGAGGGGGGCTCTGGCAGGACCCCACTCTCTGCTGGAGCAGCCCGGGAGGCCCTGGGAGGCCAGTCAGGGTAAAAGCTGGCTCTCATATGGCCACGCATTTTAGCCAAGACAGCGTCCTCGGTTGTTTTATGGGCCTGGAAACGGGCCTGGGGAGTCGAGCATGTTCTTGGGGAGTCTCCTAGTGATTGGGCTCCGGGCCACGGGGCCCACCTTTGTCCGTTGATCACACTGTCTTTTTGGCGGGTGAGACCTTGGAAGATGATAGAAGACCGTAGATTTGAAAGGTCCTTAAACAATACTTTTATACTCACGGAAAGAATTATGGAGAGACCTGCCTAGTGGCAGTTAGGTAAAGACTCAACAATTAATTTGATTTAATGAAGTGCATCTTAATCAAGTGTGCACGAGAGATCTTGGTGTGGAGTAAGAAGGGGGGGACAGTAGAGGGTCTCTTGGCAGAGAGCTTGGAAGAACAGAATTCTAGAACTTCTTTTTGCTGCTTCCGTTTCCATCAACCAAGAGTCTATTGGAGCTTCTGCCAAGAGGCATGGGCTCAGCGGGTTAGTCACAGGGCCGGTCCTTGCTGGGCTGAACATGCACCCCTTTCCTGGTGGTCCCAGTTCCTTTACACCCAGACTTTGCATTGTGGGGTCTCAGAGGAGAATGCCTGCAGGGCGTTGGGCCGTGGACCCAGCCAATGTCATCAATTCCTATCCCTCTGCCGAGAACGCCCATGGAGTGGGGACGGGAGGCTTCACTTTGTTTCTCTGTGGCCATGTCGAAGTTGGGGTGCCACATGTTCTCCCTCGTGTATGGAAACTGGAAAAATGACTTCCTGGAAGTAGAGAGCCATAGAATGCAGCGGGGAGGAGTGGGGAGGGCGGGAGGGCAAGGGGAGAGGGGCATGGTCATTGGAAACAAAATTGCAGATAGAAAATGTCACTGTTACAAAACACAGCAGGGAGGATAGTCACAGCCCTGTGTAAGTTTCAGATGGTTGAAATGATAGGCCTACTGATTAGCACTGTTTAATGTTTATACATTGTATTCAGTGCTGGAGAATTACATTGTAACAGTGTTCATTTTTTAAGCCTGCTGAGTGGATGAGTTCATTTTAATAAAGAAGATTGCTCCTCGCCTTTCGTTATTGCCTTTTGAAGGCTTTTACCCACATTTTTACCTGGTGTCCTGTGCGTGCGATGGACGGGCGTGGTTAGTACACTCCCACCGCACCCCAGGGAGCAGGAAGTACAGCCGCCACGTGGCATCCCCCAGTTTCTAGAACAATTCAACTTTGTTCTGCACTTACAAAATATAAACTAGTCAGTGGACTCTGTAGCCGTGACATTTCATTTTAGCCTAAAATTTCAGCATGCAGCACACTTTCCTTCTACAGACAGAATATCCCGTAGGGTCCAGCGGAGAATTCCTTCGCCCGTCCTCTGCCCCTTAGATGCTGCCGATCCCCACATGCTCCTCCAGCGCGCTTTGTCAGCACAGCCGGGGGCGTTGCTCCGCGGGATGGCCTGAGCCCCTGGGGCCAGAGCTGTGTGTTCCGTGTCCTGTAACTATGGAAGGAAGAGAGTGGATTAAGATTCGGTTGTTTTGGCACAGATGCAGTCAGAAAGGTTCGAGTGTGGAGACTCAGTGAAGCGGCACTGGTTT